TTAATAGAGACGGGATTTCACCATGTTGGCCAGGATGGTCTCAATCTCTTGACCTTGTGATCCACTCAGCCTCCCAAAGTGCTGGGATTACAGGTATGAGCCACTGTGCCTGGCTGGTCGCCCCCAACTTTTAAAAAAACGATTTGCTACTCAGATCCCCGTGGCACCAAACGGTAAGCAGCTACAGATGTTTCAACTCACCTTGCACTTGAGGGAGACCTGGAGACCCACCTAAACCTTCCCATGAGGGGCCTAGCCAGTAACTGACTTCCAGCGTGGAGGAGCAGAGCTGAGATGTGCTCAGAATGGTGGTCTCTTAAACTCCACTCTGACCCCCATTTGCCTTTGCTTCCTCTCTCAAACTCTGTGTGACACTCTACTTTTTGAGGCAACTGTGATTTAGTCACCTGGTGTGGCAGATGACCAGCAGTCTCCAATACAGTGATTTCCATTTTCTCTGCCACCCAGGCAAAGTCTCAATGCCCCTGGGTACCCGGAGTCTCCAGCTAAAAGACTGCTCCTGTCCAGCCCAGCCCAGTCAGAATGGGTCCAGCTCCCGCCTCTGTGCCTTCTCCACCTGTGCTGTCCTCTTCTGTATGTTCTGGTTCAGGTTCCACACCTAATTCAAACTCCTGTGCCTGGGAGCACTTCCTCATCATCACATCCAACTCTGGTTGCGATCAGGTCCATTCTATCCGCACACACCCATGGCTATGGAGAGCTATACAGATATACATTTTGGTGTGCATTATGTCCTTTCATGTCTAGTTGCTTCAGTTCCCTATTGTACTACATGGTCCCTGAGTGTAGAAACCATGTCCTCCCCATTGCTTGAACCTGGGAGGCAGAGGCTGCAGTGAGCTGAGATCATGCCACTACTGCACTCCAGCCTGGATGACGGACTGAGACTTTGTCTCACAAAAAAAAAAAAAAAAAAAAAAAAAAAAGAAGAAGAAGAAAAGAAACCATGTCCTCTCCAGCAGTCCAACAGCCTAAGAATTTTAATTTTAATTGTGATAATAAAAATGATAAAATAGTGATGATGGTGATAAATACCCTGTGGCTTTGGATAATAATTTTATCCACCCATGCCTTTTATGGGAGGCAGTTTTGGGGTTAAGACTATGTGTTTTACAGACAAGCTCTGGATTTGAATCCTGGCCCTTCTGCTTATTAGCTATGTGATCCTGGATGGCTTTCCTAACCCTTTCTCTGCCTCAATTTCATCTGTAAAGTGGGGATAATAATAGTACCTGCTTCCTAGGGTTAAAAGATTTAGTGCATTGATAGTGCTTTAAATGGTCCCTGACACATGGCCTGCCTTAATACCTATCAGCAACTGGTATAATTTTTGGACACTCACCATGTACCAGGCATTGTACTACTGAAGGCCACATGAGAATGATCTCATATAATTATCACAACAATGCTGTGAAGTTGGTACCACTATTATCCCTGTTTTACAGATGAGAAAACAAATTCACGGCAAGGTTACGTCACTTGCTAAGGACACATGGCTATTAACATGCAACCTTCCTAGATGGTGGAACCCTGTCTGTCTCTTTAGATCATGTGCCCTCCTCCTTCATCATAAAGAAATGTGAGACAATCATACTACCATCCCATTCTCAGGGTTGACAAATAGACCTTAAAGTGATGTTGCTCATCCCAAGCCATGAAGACACAAAATGTCAGTGGCTTGACCAGAGTAAGGGTTAAGAGTCCTCTGGGGCAAAGATGAGCAGGAACAGAGAGACAGCTAAGCTAAGAATCAATCTCATCTCCCTGACAAAGAGACTCTGTGCTCCGGACTAAGCACACCACTGTATCTGAATCAGCTGCCTAAATGGATCCCAGACTACTTCCGAAACTAAACTTTCTTGGTGTGAGGCCAGGGCAAGCTGGGAACGAAAGTGGCTTGAATAACACAAATATGAGGGGCAACATCCCAGTCCAAAGTGATCCTCACATTACCTGCCATTTCCTTCTTGCCATGTACTTCTTCATCCGGTCCTTGGAGAGTTTCTTGGCCTCCATGTTCTTGGTATCTTTCATTAGCCATGGATGCTGAAGGCACTGCGTGCAGTCCAGGCGGTTTCTGACAGAGGCAGAGATCAGGAGGTTTTTGAGCAGGAGGAGACCTCAGAGACCACTGGTTATATCGGAAATGAGTAGCCACCTCTCCCTGGTCATGTAGGGCACAGCCCAGGGCCCCCTGCTCCCAGGTCGTCCACCATGGTCAGGACCACTGTGCTCTTCACCTTTCTCCTCACTTGGTCACACTAACTGGAACCAGCACGGGTTGGTGTTATGAACGCCTAAGCATCGAGGAAGCCACTGGGCTCCATGGCCTGCTCTTGGGGTCGAGGAAGAGTAGGTGCTGCAGGGCAGACATTTCTGGGATTGGCTGGCACCCTATTCCAGGGTGGGTCATTCTGCTGGTCCCATGAGGGCTGGGGCCCACAGAGCCTAATCCTCCTGCCACCCTGTCTGGAGGAGGGGAGAGTTAAACTCTAGGATAAAACCTCCAAGAATCACTGAACTTTCATGTTTTATGTCTTATGGTGTGATACTCAAAAAACCTTGAATATCAGGTTTTTCCTGTTACAACTCAAAGCAGTATGTCCTGCATATAACCTATGAATTATGACTACCTTAGAACTGCACTGAAACTCACTTAATCTTTCTAAAAGCTCTAGAGATTTAGAAACATTTTAGAGCCATTGCCTTAACTGTAACAGGACTAAGAAAGCCTAAAATACCAAATGCTAACATACATAGAAAAATGACTGGAAAGAAGTATAGCAAAATGTAGTGATCATCAGATAAATAAATTACTGATGATTTAAGTTTTATTATGTTCTTCAAATCCTCTATAATTTACATGCATTACTTTTATAATAGAAAGGGATTTTTAAGAAAGTGCTGTTAGGTGGTGATTTCTGGTTAAGAGTGGCTGGGGCGCCGGGTGTGGTGGCTCAAGCCTGTAATCCCAGCACTTTGGGAGGCCGAGGCGGGCGGATCACAAGGTCAAGAGATCGAGACCATCCTGGTCAACATAGTGAAACCCCGTCTCTACTAAAAATACAAAAAATTAGCTGGGCATGGTGGCGTGTGCCTGTAATCCCAGCTACTCAGGAGGCTGAGGCAGGAGAATTGCCTGAACCCAGGAGGCGGAGGTTGCGGTGAGCCGAGATCACGCCATTGCACTCCAGCCTGGGTAACAAGAGCGAAACTCCGTCTCACAAAAAAAAAAAAAAAAAAAAAAAAAAAAAAAAAAAAAAAAAAAAAAGAGTGGCTGGGTATAACAGTTTATGGGAATTTAGTGTCTTGATCTATTTGAATAAGATCAGTTCTTTGGTAAATCCATTTTATGAGCACAGAGGGATCCGGTACAGCCTGTTCTGACTTAATTCAAGGTTAGATGAGAAAACAAGATATGTACACACATAATTTTGTTTACCAAATCTTCAGTGACTAAAGCTCGTATGACAAAAGCCATCCACGGACCAGAGTTGCTGAGGAGGTTTCCATCTCCTGAGGAAAATTGGGTATGGGGGTCCCTCCCACTGGAAGAGAATTTAGATCTCCCACAGTATCTCAATTCTCCTTGGATCATGCCCATTTCTGATGCAGACTATGACAGCAAACGGCTAAAGAACTCACTATCAAGGAGAGTAGAATGTGGCCTTTGTGGGAGTTTGGCCCTGAGCTGGCTAAAAAGGACCGAGAGTGGGGTACATCACAGGAAAGCCTGACAGAGCCATCTGAGACACTCCAATGTTGTTCCTTCAGCAACTAACTGCACCCTGCTGCCCTGAACAGCCATTCTTCCTCAGGGGAGGCATCGGCAGCCTCGCCAGGCTTTTAAGTCACCTGGAAATGCAGAGCCTCCTGCCTTCACTGGAGCCAGGCCCCTCCCCTTCTAACACGCCACCCATGTCAACAGCACCCTTCTCGGCAAGGCTACAACTGCTCCCTGGGATTGCCAAGTACAGCTCCAAGCTCCTCGGCACCCCTATAGCCAGGCCTTGCCTCATCTGTTCACCTATTTGCAGAGTGGGTGACAGGCCAGCTGTCCCAACCTAAGTCCCACTGCTCCCTTTCCCTGGGCAGCCCTCCCTACACGTGCAGAGCCCAGGACAGTTCCCTCCAGCAGATTCTGTCTAGGCACACGCACTGAGCACTTTCAGCCAACCTCTCACTTTGGTCTCCTCTACAACTCCAAGCTCCAGTCTTCCACTGAAACCCCAAGGGCCTGAGAGTGTCTGACCTTCCCCACAGCCTCAGGCTCATGCTGGCCTCCCACTGTTCACTGCCCTTTGTTCACAGCAGCAGCAGCAGGCACAGGTGGGGAACCTTACAACAAAGGCGGAGCAGGGAGACGGCTAAGCCCAGTGGTCTGGGATCACAACCGCCCTTTGGCTATAGACGTTAAAGACGATACCTGGCTGTATTCAGGCAAGCACTTATTAAATAACTTAAATATTAAAAAAGAAAACACCAAGCCAGAATAATAATAATCTGGGTATATGATCAGGACCCACAGACAAGTTCTAAGATGACCCTGTCCTCTGCTCTTGCTTGTTGAGAGGGTCCTTCCCCTGCAGCCACTGAAGAGGGCTGTGGCTGGCCACAACTGTACCCAGAAAGTAAGAAAGGCAGTCATTATTCATACAGAACAGCTGCCCCTCACTCTGCAACTCAGTCAAGTGTCGCTTGTCAAGTCAGGTGTCTGAGTTTCTGAAGGTGAATTCCATGTCTAGCTCCAGGGGGCAGGGCCTAGGAAGTCACCTCCCTGACCCACATGCACTCAGCCTGGGTCCCTCACCATGCCCACCCTCCCTTCCTCAGGAAATGCTAGGAACGACTCAAGGTGGGGTGGTGAGGAGGGTGCCCCAACAGGCAAAGGAATCCCCCTTTGCTTCCCAACACAGGGCAGGGAGTAGGGAAGCAAGGACTGAAATCCCAACTCATTACTTCATATCTTTCTTCAGCAGACTGCTGATGAAATCCTTGGCATCATCGGAGATCTCATCGAATGCCTCATCGTCGAAGTCCCAGGTGGCTGAGGTAACATTGGCCAAGGTTTCATTATCGTTGTCTCCCATGAAGGGGGAAAGGCCACTGACCCTGGAGAAACAAGAGCAGGAGAGCAGATATGGATAGGAGAGGCTGCGACGACCAAGTGAGTGCTAACTGAGGTCAAAGGCGAGGGTCTGCCAGCCTCCCCACCCTCAGACTCATGCTCTGGGGGCCTTGCACCTGCCTTTCTTCCACTTGTGGAAAGAAAAGTGGGTGTGGTTTACAGAGGTCACCTGCCTCTTGACACAACCTACCTGTGAGGCTGAGGTGCAGTGGGCTTGCTTTAGATTATGGACTTCCGCAGGGTACACAGCAGGGCTGATAAGTCCCTCTGTCCTGGTCTTCTGTTCTTGCCCAAAGCCCAGGCTAGAGGCTTCTCCAGGCCCCTTCCTCCTGTGCTCCTGCCCCCTCTCCGTGGACTGGGCACGTGGTACAGTGATCACCACTGCACCCTCTGTCCCCTCCCTCCCACCTCTCTCCACACACCTTCAGCTCCAAGAAGAGAACCCAGCACACAGGAGAGGCTCAGCAAGTGAAGCGTGTGCCCGATGGATAGATGGACTTTGAATCAGCAGTGTAGGTTCAGAACACCTGAGGTATTTATGCCAAACTAGAGCGCTTCCCTGTGAGGTGCCGAGGCAGAGGACAGAGTGCACCCTCTCCGCTTGCTGGGTGGTCTTGGCCAATTCCCTGATCTGAGTCAGGTTTCTCCTCGAAAATGGAGAAGCTACCACTTAACTCTGGGGTGGTCAGTCCTTCATCCTCAGCATCATCATGATGGCAATAGACATTTATTAAACTTTTTCTATGTGCCACACACTGGGTCAAGTGCCTAAAATGGGTGAATTCACTTAATCTTAACACTGCCCTGTAATGTAGGTAACCCTTATAATTTTGTTTTACAGATGAGGAAATTGAGGCACAGCCTAGGCTCAAGTAACCTGTCCAAAGATTCAGAGCCAGTGAGATTAGAACCCAGGTATCTGACTCTAGAGCCCCTTAAGTGCTATATTATCCTAACATTTCTGTGAAGATGAAGTAAATTGCAATATTCAGCACTGGCACCAGGCTTGGTCCACAGTAAGGAGCCCATCCATGCCCAGAGATATCATGCAGTTCTGCTGGGTTCCCTCCACTGCCTCACTAAGCTGTGAGTGCAGAAATGACTCTGACCAGAAGCTTAAGCCAAATAAACTTTGGAAGCTAAAGAATTTCAAAACAAGACAGATCAGATTATGGCTTACTGACCTTACCTCTCACCTCTGTGCACTTCACCTTCATAGCAACAACCCACTCCACTGTTCATGTGAGCTTCGTGAGTCAGCCTCTTGAGTGTTTGACCTGCACAGTTGCCCAGAGTCCCACTCTTAGGCCCTGTGCTTGGTTTAATGCTCTGCTGCCATCATCTCAAGATTCTTAATAATGTTTGAACAAGTGGCCCCACCTTTTATGTCACAAATTATGTAGCTGATCCTGTCCTGACCTCAGCTGAGCCCCATGAGATGGATCTGGGGGCCAGGCGTGGTGGCTCACACCTGTAATCCCAGCACTTTGGGAGGCTGGGATGGGTGGATCACCTGAGGTCAGGAGTTTGAGGCTAGTCTAGCCAACATGGTGAAACCCCATCTCTAGTAAAAATACAAAAATTAGCTGGGCATGGTGGCAAGCAGCTGTAATCCCAGCTACTCAGGAAGCTGAGGCAGGAGAATTGCTTGAACCCTGGAGGTAGAGGTTGCAGTGGGCCAAGACTGCGCCATTGCACTCCAACCTGGGTAACAAGAACAAAATTCCATCTCAAAAAAAAAAAAAAAAAAAAAAAAGAAAGAAAGAAGAAAAGAAAAGAAAAGAGATGGGTCTGGGGGCTTCCTGCCATCAACCTGTCAAGTTAGGGTTTTACCAATGTCCCTTCTCTCAAATGCTTATGAATCATCATCATAAGCCAAGCACTGACAGCTTCAGGAGTAAGGCTTTGGTTGAGTTTGACAGAACAAAACCCACATGAAATACTGGGAGAAAAAGTTTGCCATGGGAGGAACCCTCTGGTGAAAGCTTTTGTAAAGAGAAGAAAACTTTTACAATGTGCATTGTCTCATCCTAACCAACATATTTATGTTTCTGAATAATAGATTTTTGTGGATGGGATTTTCTTAAAGCAAGACCCTGATTTATGTTTTAAGAAGGCAGAGAATCATTCTCAGTCATGTCCCCATGAGGGAAGGGTGGCCATTTACCTATTTCTGAGTCTGCACTGTTATCTGCTGCTCCTTTCCCCTCTCTGGACCTCAGTTCTCTTTTTATATATCAAAGGGACTGGGCTAGATTTTGTAGGGGCCGCCCAGCTCTCTCTGTCTCTGCAACCCCGACCACCATGTGGCCCATGCAAGCCTCATTGGGAAGCAGCCTGTCTCTTGCCTGCCAGCCACCTGCTGCTTCTTTACATTTTCCCTTGGAAACAGACAGAGGGGAAGTCCTGCAGCACTCCAAAAGATGGCAGGAAAAGCAAACAACCCTGCTGTGGAATGCAGAAAGTTCCCCTTCTGCAAACCTCCTTTCCTTATTAGGAACTATAATCCTGCAAAGATAGGTCTTAATCTCTGCAACTCTGGGCACAGTCAGGGAGAGCCTCATTGCCTCTGGCCTCTGGCACTCTTCCTTCCTGGCAGCCCATCCATCTGAATACTCTCCTCACCCTGCCTGGCTCCTTGCCTGCCCAAGTTCCCCCAGCATTCTCCCTATTAAAGAGCACGTCTCTAGAATAAAACATGGAATACATACACAGCATGTTGACAAAGAGGGTGTTTGAATTTTCAGCAATAGTGTTGCTGAGTGGTGGGGTTTTGCAGAATTTTATAAAACCTTTTTGGGGAACTTTTTCTACATTGCTAGAATTTGCATAAGGGATCACATCTTTTTTTTTTTTTTTTTTTTTTTTTTTTTTGAGACGGAGTTTCGCTCTTGTTACCCAGGCTGGAGTGCAGTGGCGCGATCTCGGCTCACCGCAACCTCTGCCTCCTGGGTTCAGGCAATTCTCCTGTCTCAGCCTCCTGAGTAGCTGAGATTACAGGCACGCACCACCATGCCCAGCTAATTTTTTGTATTTTTAGTAGAGACAGGGTTTCACCATGTTGACCAGGATGGTCTCGATCTCTTGACCTGGTGATCCACCCGCCTCGGCCTCCCAAAGTGCTGGGATTACAGGCGTGAGCCACCACGCCCGGCCCTTTTTTTTTTTTTTTTTTCTGAAATGGGGTCTTGTTCTGTTGCCCAGGTTGGAATGCAGTAAGCTCAATGCAATCTCTGGCTCTGGGCTGAAGCAATCCTTCCACCTCAGTCTCCTGAGTAGCTGGAACCACAGGTGCGCACCAACATGCTTGGCTAATTTTTTGTATTTTGGTAGAGATGAGGTTTCACCATGCTGCCTGGGCAGTCTCAAATTTCTGAGCTTAAGCGATCCTCCCACCTCGGCCTCCCAAAGTGCTGAAATTATGTGAGCCACTGTGCCCAGCCTTGCCTGTTTATTTAGAAAATAGTCATTATTTGTTTTATTTTTTTGAGCAGGGTTTCACTCTGTGACCCAGGCTGGAATATAGTGGCATGATCATGGCTCACTGCAGACTCAACTTCCCCAGGCTCAGTTGACCCTCCCACCTCAGCCACCCGAGTAGCAGGACCACAGGCACACACCACCATGCCTAGCTACCTTATATATTTTTTGCAGAAATGGGGTTTTGCAATGTTGCCAAGGCTGGTCTCGAACTCCTGGGCTCAAGCTATCCGCTCACCTGGGCCTCCCAAAGTGCTGGGATTATAGGCATGAGCCACTGAGCTCAGCTAAAAAATAGTCATTGCTTGTTAAAAACCAACCAGTCAACAAATAATGTTAGCATTAAAACACCTCTTTATCTCCCTGAAAAACAGATTGATCTGGTTTTCAAAAAATTGTAATCAGTTTGGATGCTTCACTTTTTCTTCACTGGATATATCAAGTATAGACAGACTCTTCATATTGATTTTTAATGGTCAAATATTAGTCTTTGTGCTGATGAAACACAATGATCGTGACTGCAGGCATTCTAATTTCTTAATTCTCAGCTCCTTGCAGCAGAACATCCCCCAGGGAATCTGATGTGGAGGCCTGTTTGGCTCTCGAGGTAGAAGGTTAAGAGAGCAGACGATGCAGAAATGCCTCTTGGACTACACTTCGTTCGTGTGTGTGTGTGTGTGTGTGTGTGTGGTTTTTGTTTGGTTGGTTTTTTTAGAAGTAGGGGGTCTTTCTATCTCAGCCAGGCTGGTCTTGAACTCCTGACCTCAAGTAATCCTCTCACCATGGCCTCCTGAGTAGCTGGGACCACAGGTGTGCACCACTGCACCTGCTTTCTGTGTTGTGTTTCAAGTAGCAGACAGATGCCCCGGCTGTACCAGTAGCCAGCAAGGGGACCACACATCTGCTGACAAAACTACTGACTGCTAGGAAGGGGTTAGTCTTTTATCCACGTTAGCCATCTGATACTCTGGTGGGAGAGCTGAGAGGGCTGAGCAGATCCACAGGAAGAGCTGTGGATCATTTTGTGCCCCGGCTAAGTAAGCAGCGACCTAGGGTTTAGTTGTGTTAGTAAAAGTTGAAGATGGTGGCTGGGCTTGGGGAGGGAGCAGGGATCCTAGGGGTTGCCTATGGGTTGGAATCAGAGCGCATTTCCAGGCTCAGCAGCAGAGAGGTTGGGACAGCCCTGGGTGAGGAAGGCAGAGGCTTCTGGATCCGGCTGAGGAGCCCTGCAGCCACCCTGGTCTGAGGAGGTCCGAGCACTGTGACCTTTCCTCAGCTGATTGGGCAGCTGTCCCTAGAAGAGCTCACCTGCCTCCCTGCCACACACACACCTCTCCTACCTCCTGGCATCTCCTGACCACATGGCAGTGTGGGGAGGGACAGCTGCCAGCTTTCTGCACCATGAAGGGTGTTCAACGAACAAACAACAAGCATGAATAGGAAGGCTGTGCTGCTGGGCCATCAGGAAGAGGCAGGAAGAGGAAGCAGAGCAGCCACTGCTGGTTCACTCTGGCTTGAGGGAGGATGAGAGAGAAAGAACTGTGGAGTAGGGTGAGGGAAGGGCATGGAGAAGAGCTGTTGTGGCCTCCCCCTAGGCAGCCAGGGAGAATCAAGTCCAGGAAGTAGGGGAGGGAGACAGCAGAGGGAGGAGGGCTCTTAAATGGAGGCAGGCTTAGGATTTCTTCCATACAGAAGTGTGGCCTCCAGCTCCCCAGTACCTTTGCTTCCTGCCAGAAACCTCATGACTATTGCTAACTTCTGAAGGTCTCCAGGTACTCACACAATCTACTGTTTCCTTTCAAGATCTGGGATGAGAGTGTGGGGACTCTATGATCCTACCTGCTCCTTCCCTATAGGGCCAGGAACTGACCTGATCACTGGGCTGGGTGGGAGAGAGTAAAGTCACATTGCCCTATGGGAACATGGTCTGTTGCCTTCCCTTCCAACTCCCTGGCCTCTTCATCTCTCACTGGGCCCATAAAGGAGAACAGGAGGGGTTCTCTGGTACAAAGGTAGAAGTCACCCTGACAGGGACTGCCAGACAGATGACCAGGCTCCAAAGACAGGGAGAGAGTGGGGCAGAGGATGCTATGAGAGCCACCAGAGAGCCTCTTTCGGGTACCTCCAGCAGTGGCTCCAGAGTTCTGCATAGTAGGGGCTTAAAGGAAGCCATCTCCTTGGCTCCAACATTTGTTTTCAGCACCACTCTCTGCTGAGAGCCCTGGCTTGGGAGGGGAACTCCCAGACTTCCTTCCACGCTGAGACTGCCAGCCTGGAAAAGCCCCAGAGGACAGTGGCTCACAGTGAGGTTCCAGGAGCCAAAATGTGGCACAGGATTGGCCCAGGCTGAGTCTGTGCCACCTGGCCTGGGTCCCTGCCACCCCCCGCCCTCCCGATACCCTCTGCCCAAGCACCCGCAGCATCAAAACAATCTTCTCCCCATTTCAAAAGCCCTGCCCTAGTTCTTGGTCTTTGCTTTCAGGGTAATCCGGTAAACAAGGTAGCATAGTGCCCAAATTACTATGTTCCTCCACCTAAAAAAACCCTCATTTGACAATAAAGTGCCCTTATGACCCAGTGATTCTAGTTCTAGGTCATATATCCAACAGAAATGTACAAATATGTTCCCTGAAACACATGAACCAGAATGCTTCCAATGGCCAAACTGGAACCCACTC